TCAACTCCTGCTACTACAAATATTAACTTTTTTTGGATTTTATTTTTACAATGAAATGATGAATAATGCATCTTCAAACTGGTGTCTCAACCTTACTGCCAACTTTTCTCGTTCAGGAAAAATTGCCACTTATTTCCCAACCAACTATTCCAAAGTAAAACTTTGCTCAACTTTAACTGGCTGTACTGGAAAAAAATGTACTACGAGAGTTTAGCAAGTAACCTTAAAAGTTGGCGCATTTAATAACGATTCCAAAATGGTATAACACTTAGAAGATTACTCGTTAACTTATGCACAATTTCTATTTGAAAAAAAACTGATGAAAATTGTTCAAAATTTACTAATTAAACAGCGATTATGAAAACGCACAAGGACCCTCAAGGATAACTGTTTGCACAACAGTGGGTGTCAAAATGCTGCTGATGATGATTTACCTTTACAGCAAATGCTCAAACTGTTTTCCTTCAGCCGCAATACACGCTCGACATCTTCTTAAAAAAGATCGGGTTATTAAACGAGCGAATCCACGGTTATTAACAAACTCAGCTGCTTCCAATAGTCTTTGCCGTAGCTCAGCTATATTTTGAATCGGCTTGAAATACACTTTTTCTTTTACAGTTCCCCAGTAAAAAATTCTAAAGGATTCAAATCAGGTGATCGGGCTGGCCACGGTATTCTACCAGACCGCCTTATCCATCTGCCTGGAAAGTTTTGATCGAGATACTCTCTCACTGAGAGTGCATAGTGCGCTGGGCAGCCATCATGCTGAAACCACATGTCCCTGTAAATACTCAGTGGGACGTCCACCAATAAATTTTGTACATGATTTTTCAAAAAATCCAAATAAACTTCAGCAGTCAAAGTCTCTGGGAACTCAAACGGACCGATTATTTTACCATTTAAAATTCCTGTCTAATGGTTTATCTTGAAGCGATATTGAGATTTATCTTCTCTCATCAAATGTGGGATTGCTACGTGCCACTCGTGTAAGTTATGCAGGTTCATGTACCCATCTTTCTTAAATGTGGTCTCATCCGACCATAAATTTTTTTCAAAGAACTGTGGATCTTTCCTGTGTCTTTCTAACATTGTGCGACAAAAAGCAACTCGGGGCTCATAATCCCGGGGCAGGAGAGGTTGAACACGCTGTATGTGGTATGGATGAAGCACATCACTTCTTGCTATTGCACACTTTGATACCGATCAGTACTCGCATCTTTACATGTTCGTGCTTGTTGATTTCGTACTGTTACTAATTTTGGATTCGTGAACTGGACTGTTGATCGCTTGTGATTTGGATTTGGACTGTTTAATTGCTCTTCAAAACAACATTTGCTTTCCTTAGACTATCTTTGATAGTCTGATTGTGCAGTGCCGCTATGTCCGTGTAAACCGTACAAGAATATGCTAACATGCACCTCATTTATGGGGAATGCAGATGCAACGCTAGTGCTGCAGCGAGACTTTACTGTGAGAGGTACCCGAATGCAGCTCGTCATCCAGATCGTCGAGTGTTCACAAAGGTGCACCGCTTACTGTTCTCAGAGGGCCAACTACCAAACCAATCACACGTTGAGGGAAGATCTTTCCTTCCTTACGAAGACGTGGTGCTAGGAGCTGTCGAAGAAGACCCGAGTACTTCAGTGCGTGCAATAGAACTAAAAACAGGTGTGCCCAAAAGTACAGCCCATAGAATTTTGCAAAAAAAACGTGCTCCATCCATACCACGTACAGCGTGTTCAAGCTCTTCTGCCCCGGGATTATGAGCCCCGAGTTGCTTTGTGTCGCACAATGTTAGAAAGACACAGGGAAGATCCACGGTTCTTTGAAAAAATTGTATGGTCAGATGAGACCACATTTAAGAAATATGGGTACATGAACCTGCATAACTTACACGAGTGGCACGTAGCAAACCCACATTTGATGAGAGAAGATACATCTCAATATCGCTTCAAGATAAACTATTGGACAGGAATTTTAAATGGTAAAATAATCGGTCCGTTTGAGTTCTCAGAGACTTTGACTGCTGAGGTTTATTTAGGTTTTTTGCAAAATCATTTAGAAAATTTATTGGAGGACGTGCCACTGAGTATTTACAGGGACATGTGGTTTCAGCATGATGGCTGCCCAGCGCACTATGCACTCTCAGTGAGAGAGTATCTCGATCAAAACTTTCCAGGCAGATGGATAGGGCGGTCTGGTACAATACCGTGGCCAGCCTGGTCACCAGATTTGAATCCGTTAGATCATTTTTACTGGGGAACTGTAAAAGAAAAAGTGTATTTCAAGCCGATTCAAAATGTAGCTGAGCTACGGCAAAGACTATTGGAAGCAGCTGAGTTTGTTAATAACCGTGGATTCGCTCGTTTAATAACCCGATCTTTTTTAATATGTCGAGCGTGTATTGCGGCTGAAGGAAAACAGTTTGAGCATTTGCTGTAAAGGTAAATCATCATCAGCAGCATTTTGACGCCCACTGTTGTGCAAACAGTTATCCTTAAGGGTCCTTGTGCGTTTTCATAATCGCTGTTTAATTAGGAAATTTTGTAAAATTTTCATCAGTTTTTCTTAAAATAAAATTGTGCATAAGTTAACGAGTAATCTTCTAAGTGTTATAGCATTTTGGAATCGTTATTAAATGCGCCAACTTTTAAGGTTACTTGCCAAACTTTCGTAGTACATTTTTTTCCAGTACAGCCAGTTAAAGTTGAGCAAAGTTTTACTTTGGAATACTTGGTTGGGAAATAAGTGGAAATTTTTCCTGAACGCGAAAAGTTGGCAGTAAGGTTGAGACACCAATTTGAAGATGCATTATTCATCATTACATTGTAAAAATAAAATCCAAAAAAAGTTAATATTTGTAGTAACAGGAGTTGAGAGACTGCCGTAAGGTGTGAAATTTCTATATTTTTTTCAAAGACCTAAAATTTCCAAAACACATACATAAAATTTTTTAAAATATTTTTCTGATAGCTGTTATGACTTTGCCTATCACCCGGTTTCGGCTTGACGTCGACTTCTGTGACACCCTGTATACAAACGAGATCATCATTCAAATGTACAGTTGACATATTCCTTATCGCTATACAAAGCGTTATTCAACATAATTGTCCTTATTTTTGCTTTGGAAAGGAGACATTTGGTGTGGTCTTTAATATCTCACAGACTGACTGAATGAATGCTTACACAATTATTATTGATCCAGATGCTTATCTTTGCATTCTATACTAAAAGAGTACTCCCACAAAGCTGCCAAAAACATATGATAGGATATGACTGCTTATTCCTTTTCGGTGGAAAATTCCTCGAATGTTCTAGTGATGATGATATGGAATACATGATAAATTAACAATGCCCGGGAATCGAACATCAAAGTCCAACTTCGATGCAAGTGAATATGATAATTTTCAATTTAAATAAAACCATGTCACGACATGTCTCTCGTAAAATTGCTATAAAATGAGAATTTACACGCTGTCGGATTACCTTATCACGTATCGCACAGTCTCTCTGTCGGAATCCTGGATGAAGTTGAGAATACTGTAAAATTCGCGAATAGTGTGGATTTGTTAAATTGGACGAAACGCAATATCAATATTCAATATACACGGTGTCCCATTTTAATCTCCCCACCTAAATATTTCGAAAACTGCGCATTCTAGAAGAGTTTTAAACAACACTGATGGTGACCTTGACAAAGACCTAGACTACGACTTCCAAGGTCATTTCAACGACAAGTGATAATTTTCAAATGGAACCCCCGCTTTCACATTGGAATTGAAAATAGTGGCAAATTTTACGTCCAAACCTCTCCTTGATAATGCCATTTGACAATTCTTTTCAATGTCAAATCAAGACATCGAAAACAATTTGACCTAGCAAAAGTAATACGGGTGCTCTTGTCGCTCGACAAAGCTTCTGGTCCGGACTTGATTCCTGCCGTTGTATTGAAGAGGTGTGCAGCGGAGCTCGCTCCAGTTCTTTCTCGTCTCTTCCAGATATTTTACGAATCCGGCACCATGTTCAACCCATCCAAAAAAAGCATCTAAGGCCGACCCTTACAACTACAGGCCCATAGATCTGCTTTCTGTTATAAGTAAGGTGGTGGAGAGGTGCATAAATTGCGAGCTTCTGGACTACATTGAATGTCATGGCTTGATTAGCGACAGGTATGGTTTCCGGCACCAGCAATCCAAAGGGGACCTCCTAGCGTAAGCCATGCAATTGTGGAGTAAACTCTTATGGTGAGGCTCATGTCGCTGCTCTTGATAGCGTTCGATCAGCTGTGACACGCTGCCGTCTTATACTTACTTCCATCCCAGAGAAGCTTTGCAGATGGGTGCTTTACTTTCTCTCTGGCTGAAATCCAAAGGGGACCTCCTAGCGTATGCCATGCAATTGTGGAGTAAACTCTTATGGTGAGGCTCATGTCGCTGCTCTTGATAGCGTTCGCTCAGCTGTGGCACGCTGCCGTCTTATACTTACTTCCATCCCAGAGAAGCTTTGCAGATGGGTGCCTGACTTTCTCTCTGGCCGAAATCCAAAGGGGACCTCCTAGCGTATGCCATGCAATTGTGGAGTAAACTCTTACGGTGAGGCTCATGTCGCTGCTCTTGATAGCGTTCGATCAGCTGTGACACGCTGCCGTCTTATACTTACTTCCATCCCAGAGAAGCTTTGCAGATCTGTGGCTGACTTTCTCTCTGGCCGCAAGATATCCGTCATAAATGACGGGTTCTCCTCTTCATTCTACCACGTCAACGCGGATGTTCCCCAGGGATCGGTCTTGGGTCCGACACTGTTTCTCTTACATATAAATGACCTCTTTTACCTTGACGAACAAAAAGCGTCCTAGCGCTCATCCGTTTTCGATGCGCGGCTTCTTCGGTATAAAAACAAACTAGTGGGATGACCTCGATATAACTTATCATCATAACAAATTCAAACATTAAGTACCTTCAAAAACTCTAAGATAAAAACAACTATACTTATGGTTATACCTATACAATAGAACAAAAATACACATTCAAGGTGTTCCATACTCAAATTATAAGCTTTCATGTTGAATGACTGTAAGGCGAGGGTCATCGCTTTCTTGCTGTTTCTTTCCAGTTCCCTGTACTTCATATCGATGAATCCGTTTTCCCTCATGGTCATTAGGTATTTCGTACATCGTTCAAACAAAGGGTGTCCTTTGAGAAAAATGAATTGAAGTGGAAGAAACGATATCTCATAATCATCGATTACGTGCAGCAGGGATTTTCCATTTCCATCTAGATACAGTAGCGGTATCAGATATTCCAGTTGTCTGCTGAGCTTTACTGCAAAAGGAGATGGTAATAGAGTCAGTGTCCGACCGAACTTTCGCTTTCGGTTTTGGACCAGTTTCGGTCCAAAATCAGTGTTTCGAAAGTGAAACTACGTTCATGTTTTCGGGCATCTTCGGTCAAATGTTACTCAGACCAAAAGTCAAATTTGCTAGGCGAAAATCTAAAATTGTTATTCATGTCATGTTAATATCAGACTGTTTAATTATGATTATAGATTTCGTTCTGTTGCACCAACGTTGAATTTGAGTTTTGTAAGACTACAGAAATCTAGAAACCAATTTCAGGTAGAATATTTAAAACTGTACAAACCAAATTTCCTAAGAAATGACATGGTTACTAATCTCTTATTTTTGGCATTTGAATACTTTTTATAAAAAAACAAAATTTATTAGTTGAAGGATACCCAAATCATCGTTTAAAATATCATCAAGACCAATAAAAAATATAAATATATACTAATAAAATCCATTTTTGAAGATTAAAAATGAGTTACACAATCTTTAAACTCAAAAAATTGATTGTTTGAATTAACCGCAGGTTAGATAATTTTAAACAGGGTTTAAGTACTCAAATTAAACTAGGTTTCCGTCTAAACTAACGTTAAATAATATTAATGCAACAGCTCATAAGTGGTTATTTTGGTTTTATTGTCTGTTTTTTCTTTACAAAATGTTGAAAACAAGAAGACATTATTTATTTTGTCATTTAAAAGAGACAAATGTAATACTGTTGTAGTTTTCTTCAGCTAAATCTTAATAGTATTTGATAAAGTCTGATTATTATCTTATACAGGTGTTTCAGAACTATGGGATCAAACTTGTAGGGGTTATTCATAGTAACAGTAGGAAACATTTGAGTATAGGGACCCATATCCGGCGCTTGTGTGTTGTTATCTTTAGAAACGATAACAAAGATTGTTTTTTGTAGCTGCATTCCATATCGCCTTAGTCGTGCTATCGTATTTGTGAAGTTTGCAAGAATTCAACAAAAATTAATTGTTGCTAATGGAAAACTTTACCAATCAAGAATTGGCGGATATTCACGTTATCGCGAACGACAGCATCCGGGATACAAAAAGTTTATTGCTATTCTACGGCGGCTCTCCGAGACCTGCATGTTTAAAACCAACATGCATGATACTGGTGTTGCTCGAACCGTATGAACGGTCGAATTTGAAGAAGAGGTCCTTCAGCGAGTTGCCGACGAACCATCAAGTAGCACACGTCACATTGCTGAGGATATGAATACGAGTAACGCTTCCGTCTGGTGGGTTCAAGGATTAACTGCAGCCGATTATCATCCTAGAGTTCAATTTAGTCAATGGCTTCTTCATCAAATCGCTGCACAACCAAATTTTTTACGTTATGTTTTATGGACCGATGAAGCCTCTTTCACAAGTGACGGTATTTTTAATAGTAGGAATAGCCACGTTTGGGACAAAGAAAATCCCCTTGCAATTTTTCCTAGAAAACATCAGCAAACTAGCCAATCGACATGATTCTGTTGAAACTAATTGTTGAAAGAATATGCGAATCATTTACCACAAATTATCCCTTTTAACTAAAAGAATCCAACAGTGAACATGGTGATGATATTAGCATCTACTACCCGAACTGAATTGTTTCCAAGTCGTCATGACATATGTATATCGAAGAGATAGGAACTGCAATCAGCTTCAATTGTTTACTGGGGGCGGTGTGCTGTTGGTTATAGATTCCTTGATGAACTCTGAGGTAGTAGACACCTAATTTGAAATTGAATTTTCAGAGATAGATTTTCTTGTATGCAATCCTCTGTATCTGTCTACACCGGTGTAGCAGATATTTATATACGACCTAGAATTGCGTTTTGGAAGTTTTATAAATGATCGAAAGTTGGGATATACTGTAAGCAATACTCGAAACATGATTCTGAATTTTGTTATAAGTGATATTGACTAACAAGACACGAGTCTATCGATTCAGTCGCCAAATATAAACAATAAAATTTCAAGAAAGTGAACTGAGTTGAATTATATGAAGATTTGTTATTTACTAGCAGTTGACAGCTTCTACAGTAAGCTATATGGATTGCTTGATTGAGAACAATGAACCGATCTATAAAAACTTTAGACACAGTTATCTTGTTTGGTATTCAACTCTCAAGTTATAAAGCTCGTTAAGGATAACTTCAAAGTTGGAGGTAATTTTGATGTATATCTAGACTTTAGTAGGCTAAATGTCAAGCAGAAGATCAAAGAAGCTTATGATCATAAAGTTCAGAATGAGATAAAATATAAACCGAAATCTTTTTAGAAGTTGGCGTATCGAAGAATAATATTTTACACTGAAAAGAAAACCAAGATCATTTTAAGCAATCTGAATTTTGATAATTCTATTGAAAGAACTTAATCAACCATGTGATAGCTAACAAGTTTAATTGGTTTAATTAGCACTGTGTACGTTTTCTACATAAACTAAATTGCCTAATTTAATTAAAATTTTTATTTAAACAGGTATATGGTTTGATATTGTCAACCAAAGTCGTTTGATAATATACACTTGACTTTGAAGTTGAGTCATTAATTTTCAGATAATGATTGTAGAAGGAAGATAAACCAAAATATGTGTGTAACAATAAAAAAAAAATAAAGAAAAACGTTTACCTTGTTTTATAAAGTACCTGTATTTGATCGTGAGGTCTTGGAGCACCGGCAAGTCACCTGATTCACGAGCCCGTTGTACTACATTAACAAAGGTACGAGGGGTTGGTTGCACTCGGTTGGGAAACCGATCTGCATAAACATGTGCCATTTTTTATTTCGTTTGAGCCACGCAGCAAACACCACTATTCACTCACGCGTTACCGACTAACACATTGACTGAATAAAAACATCGTGATCAGCGTTTCAAATTCTTTCGCTTTTTTGTTTCCGATACGATGAACCGATAAGGCGGATTATATCCGTTGTTGCCAAACACGAGCACGTAATATTATTATTGAGACAGGGCGGTACTCAAACTTCTAAAGGGCTATAACTTTGTTACTTTAATTTTACAACAAAAATTTTAAAGGAAAAAACATTTCTTTTGATCAGATCTGCTCACTGTTAAAATAAATGACTCAACTTCGAAGTCACCCTGTACATATACGTACTACTATCAATTAAACTTGATCCAGAATATTAATTTTAATAAAACCGAATATAGTTACTTATAGTAATTAAAAAATGGATTACGGTAAATGTAAATTTCCCAGAAAAACTGCTTCATTCGCCACGTTTTCTCAGTGTATGATTGCTGGACAAAGGCCCAATGCAATTAAAACGTTCAGTAATTCTAAAAGTATTTGTGGTGCTTTCGCTCTTTAAAAATATTCACTCTTCACATAATACTGCTGAGGAACAAGTTAGTTTTGGTTGTTTAATTTGCAGTGGACGGTGAGAATCTTCACAATATGATTGCGTGATTTTCTACACTTTCTTGTCCAGCTGCCAGAGCGTCCCACCACAGAATAAGTAAACCAGAAGCTACACTCAGGCAATCTCCACATTGTAATTTTTAGACGGCGATAAAAGGTGACGCGCACTGCTGTTTACAGCGTCAAGCGTCAGTAAATCGATGCATATTCCGTACAGGATCGGACTTATCGGTTCTTTCCAACAAATACTTTCCAATAGTCCCAAGAAGTCGTTTATAGTAAGCCAGATCAGAGCTGCTTGTAGCAAGGCAAGATTATAACATTAATTTGCATGGATAACTGTTTCAGTTTCTAATAGTCGGAACTTGCTAGTAGGAAATGAGCGAATAATTTAGTAGAACAGTCGACTCGCTACGGCGAGAGCGAAGTAATTTGTACAATATATGATGCACAATACGTCAACAAGACTAGATAATGTATATTGAGATCCGTATAATGTCGGGGACTGTGGCAATCACGTGAAACAATGAAAACGAGTATCTCGCTTCTTCAGTTAGGGCTAGTTATGCTACTCTCCTCAATAGCCCAGTGAGGACCATTAGCTCCAACTGGGTATGGGATCTATCGAGCAATAGGTTAAACTAGCGATTGGCAAACTATGAAAGTTTCACTAACGCTATATGAGATTTGATAACCGATAATGCTTACAGAAACGCGAACAATTTTTTGTTTATAGTCACAGAATTTTGCGAAACAACGGAATTGTATGAGAACCGAATAGAGACGTTCTATCTACACGGAAATTTTATGCGTCGTTAGCGATATAGGCAGTAGAAACACGGCAAATACCCCCGTGAACTTTTGTATTACGTCAAAAATTAATGAGCAGCTCCGAAAACATTTGGAATAATAGAAATGAAATATTTTCAATATGTATTTTAATTCAAGGAACTGGCGCTACATATTGAAAACGTGACAGGTTTCTAGCTGTCGCTAACAAATGTGTCTATATACCTTTCTCTCTCGTACACATTGAATTCAAGCCGTCAAACCAATTTGGTTTTCAGTGTATGTTCATAGTGATGAGAACTGACGTCATGAGATTATGTAGAGTAACTTATTACCTGTGAAGATATCCCTCTGAAAGGCTGTTCTGTTAAGGCAGTCATCATTGCCATCGCATAGTATGTGGTGGTCTAAGATGAACTGTTCAATTCTAAGCTGTGCACTTGAACTCAACTGATCCAAAACAGTTTTTGCTATCCCTGCTTTCAGTGTTGTGCCTACGATATCATCTACATTTTTTATCTTGAGAACTGAACGATTGTCCGTTATTAAATAATATAGTCTGCTTCTGTATATTGTGTTGAGGACCAGAATTGCGAATACATAGGAGATAAATATAGTTTTTGTGGAGATTGTATTTAC